AGCTTTTCACAAGTCTTTTGATAGGGCTTTAGCAAAGTCTTTTCAAGGGTATTTTGCCAGGGCTTTTGCCACTGATTTCGTCAAGGCATTATCCGAGGCTTTTGCCAGGGCTTTTGCCAAGGTTTTTGCCAGGACCTTTGCCAAGGCATTTTGCAAGGTGTTTCCCATGTTTTTTTTCTAGAATTTTTTCCAGAGCTTTTGCAACGGATTTTGCCAAGGCTTTTTCCAGTGCTTTTGCAAAGGCTTCTGCCAATGATACTGGCAGGGCTCTACCAAGGCTTTTGCCATGGATTTGGGCATGATGTTTTCCAGAGCTTTTCCCAGGGGTTTTGCCAAGGCTTTTGCCAGGGATTGTCAGGGCTTTTTCCAAGGCTTTTTCCACTAATTTTGCCAGGGGTTTTCACAGTTATTCTGCCAAGGCTTTTGCCAGGGCTTTTCCAAGACTTGTCAGGGATTTTGATGGTGATTTTGCCAAGACCTTTCCCAGGTATTTTTGCAAACATTTGGCCAGAGCTGTTGCAAGAGCTTTTTACAAGGCTTTTCCGAATGCTTTTGCAAGGGCTTTTGACAGGTATTTTGGTAAGGCTTTTTCCAGGGATTTTGCCAGTGCTTTTGCCATGGATTTTCCCAGGAACAATTTGTAGGGCTTTTGCAAGTGATTTTGCCAGCACTTTTGCCAGTGTCTTTGCTAAGGCTTTTCCTGAGGCATTTTCTAGGTTTGTTGCCACAGCTTTATCCAGGGCTTTTGCCAAGTTTTTTGCCATGGATTTGGCAATGATTTTCCAAAGGCTTTTGTGAGGGCTTTTGCAAGGGATTTTCCCATGGATATTGGTAAGGCTTTTGCCAGAGATTTTGCCAAGGCTTTATCTGAGGCTTTTGCCATGGCTTTTGATAGTGATTTTGACAAGGCCTTTCCCAGGTATTTTCCCAAGGATTTTGCGAGGGCTTTTGCCAGAGCTTTTCCAAGACTTCTGACAGGGCTTTTGGCATGGTTTTTACCATGGCTTTTGCAATGGATTTTGCCTGGGATTTCATAGGGTTTTTGTTAAGGGTTTTTTCCAAGGATTTTGCCAGGGCTTTTGGCGTGGATTTTACCAAAGTTTTTGACAAGTCTTTTACCAAGACTTTTGCCAGAGACTTTGCCAGGGCTTTTCCAAGAGGTTTGCCAGAGCTTTTTGCAGTGGTTTTGCCTAGTCTGTTACACAGCATTTGCCAGGGCTTTTACCAAGGCTTTTGCCTGTAATTTTGCCAAGGGTTTTGCAAGTGATTTTGTCAAGGCTTTTCCCAGGGATTTTGCCACGTCTTTTCCTGAGGATTTTACCAAGGCTTTTGCCAGGGATTTTGCCAAGCTTCTTTTGAGGTTTTTACCATGTATTTTTCCAGTGATTTTGCCAGGTCTTTTGCCAGGGGTTTTCACTGTGATTTTACAAGGGATTTTTCCAAGGCTTTTTTCCAGAGATTTTGCCAAGGCTTTTGCCACAGATTTTGGCAAGGCTTTTGCCACGTTTTTTGCAGGGAAAATTGTAGGGCTTTTGCCTGGGCTTCTGGCAGGGCTTTTGCCAAAGCTTTTTCAAGGCTTTTTCCAGTGTTTTTGCCAAGGGATTTTTCCAGCGCTTTTGCCATGTATTCTGCCAAGCCTTCTGCTAGGGATTTTGCCACGGCTATTATGAAGGCTTTTTCTACAACTTTTTCAAGCTTTTGCCAGTGATATTGGCAGAGCTTTTGCAAAGGCTCTTGCCATGGATTTTGCAAAGGCTCTTGCCATGGATTTTGCAAAGGCTTTTCCCAGGGATTTTGGCAGAGATTTTAGCTTGACATTTTCCAGAGCTTTTGGCAGTGATTTTGCGAAGGCTTTTTGTCATGGATTTTACCAGGGCTTTAGCCAAAGAATTTCACAAGCTTTTGCCAGAGTTTTTTACAGGGTTTTTGCCAAGTCTATTGTCAGGGCATTTGCCAAGGCTATTGCCAAGGATTTTTACAATGATTTTTCCAAGGCTCTTCCGAGGTATTATACCAAGGCTTTTGCCATGGATTTTGTCAAGCTTTTTGCAAGGCTTTTGCCATGTATTTTTCCAGTGATTTTGCCAGGCCTTTAGCCAGGGTTCTTGCGGGGTCTTTTGTCAAGTCTTTTGCCAGGTATTTTGCCAGATATTTAGCTGGGGCTTTTACCAGGACTTTTATAAATGCTTTTGCCATGGGTTTTGCCAGAGCTTTTCCCAAGTATTTTCCCATTGATTTTGCCAGGGTCTTTGCAAAGGTGTTTTCTTTTTCCAAGGGTTTTTATGAGGTTTTTACCAGCACTTTTTCCATGGAATTTTCCAGGGTTTCTGTCAAGGCTTCTGCCAGAGATTTTGCCAGGGTTTTTCACAGTGATTTTCCAAGGGATTTTGCCAAGGCTTTTCCAAGTGGTTTTGCCACTTTAGCTATTGATTTTGCCAGGGATCTTGCCAAAGCTTTTGCCAGGACTTTTGTCAGTGATTTTGCCAGGGTTTTTGCCATGGCTTTTCAGAAATGTTTTACCAGGCTTTGGCCGTTATTTTGGCAAGGCTTTTGCCAGTGATTTTGCCAAGGCTTATTTGAAGGCTTTTGATGTGGATTTTTCCTTTGATTTTGCCTGGTCTTTTTCCAGGATTTTTGCCACAGCTTTTCCCAAGGCTTTTATCAAGATTTTTACAATGGTTTTGACAAGTCTTTTCTCAAGGATTCTTTCTGGGATTTTGCCAGGGCTTTTGCTTCATTATCCTAGAGTCCAGAGATATGTACCCTGGTGCCTTGGACGGTTTATTTGTTCTAAACCTTTCAAAAGCACCGACATTCCTAACAACTAATGCCATATATTAGTTTTTACACTTGGGCAGTGTATCTTAAAAATAGTGGAGAACTAATGATCCACAATGAACATTAAAACTCAACGAGACTGAGCTCCCTTTTAACTTTGGAGGCAACAGGTGACAGTACCACCACTCCAAGGAAACCGGTCAACTCCTGACTGTGGTCACAGGGTGGATGGTGTGGCAGGTACACCCGCCCTGACAAAAACTCTTGTAAAAGCCTTTGCAAAAGCCCTGGCATACAGAATGGAGCTGGGCATTTTCAAGGAGTGTCCATACCCCACAACTGCTTTGACTGCACCCTGTAAAGACAGTGGACTGCCTGATCCATGTTACACTGAATATGTATCACTGACGTTGGTGGATCCTTAACTGTATTAGAACAATAAATTTTCCTTATCTTTATTGATTCCACACCATTTAATTGTATCACTGGGTTTGAGTCTTATGGATTTAGGCAAGTCAATACAAGGGCCCTGAATGTCTTTATTGCATTGGTCAGCCTCTCCTGAGACTCACTTCATCTTTTCTTACCTTAAGTTCAGAGCCCCCCTTAAGCACAGACATTGAGCTCCCACCTCCTTTGTTCATTTGGCCTCATCTTTTGCATAGTTGCTACACTGCAGTCTCACCTCCAGTCAACTCTGACTCCATCTCCTTTTGCTTAACAGGCTTCTTGAGACGGATCTTAGGACTGGTTCACCTCCTTGCTGTATCTGGGATATATAATGGACCCTGCTATCAGCTACTGATTCTTACTGCCATGTGTAGTGGTGCCCCACTGGTGAGGACACTGGCTGCGAGGAGATCACCCTTGGCTCCTGATTTTGTAACAAGAAGTGCCTCTATAGGCACACCAACTGAAATGGAAACCTAAAGAAATGCTGAGGGAGTCGGCTGATGTTATTTTGAGGCCACTCTGTATGGTCTTTACAAGGTTATGTTAACCTAGGAAGCCCCCAGAAGACTAAAAGCAAGCAAATGTCACTCCTGTCTTCAGGGAAGAAGACTATGGGAACTACAGGCTGGTCAGTCACAGTTCAATACCTTGGGAAGGTGATGGAACAAATCCTCCTGGAAGCTGGTTCCAAACATAGTAAATACAATAAAGTGATTGAGAATAATTAGCATGAATTTATGAAGGGAATATGATGCCTTATCAGCCTAGCAATTGTACAACAGAACTACTAGTTTGGTGGACAACAAAAGAGCAACTGATGTCATTTGCAAGGCTTTTGGCAAGGCTTTTGACAAGGCCTTCCCCAGCAAATTGAGGAAGCATGGACTAGATAATTGAATGGTAAGATGGATGGAAAATTGGCTGAAATGCTGGTCTTGAAGCATTGCTGTCAGTACCACAGAGTCCAGCTGCAGCCAGTCTCCAGTGGGGTACCCAGGGAAAAAATACCGGGGCCAATACTGAATTAATGGACACTGGCATATTTATTAATCTCCTCCACAATAGAGCAGAGTGCACTCCTGGCAAGTTTGTATACAGTACAAAACTGGGAGGAGAGGTTGGTGCACAAGATGGCCATGCTGTCATTCAGAAGGACATTCATAGGCCAGAGAATGCAAAGTCCCATATTTGAGGAGGAATAATCCCACACACCGGTGCAAGTTGGAGCTGACAAGCTGGAAAGCAACTTTGTAGAAAAGGACTTGGGGGTCCTGGTAGATCAAGGTGAACATGAGTCAGCAATGTGCCCTTTGAGGCAAAGAAGGGCAACAGCATCCTGAGCTGCATTAGGCAGAACATCCTTCACAGGTTGAGGGAGGAGGTGGTCCTTCCCCTCTTCTTCGCCCCGATGAAACACATCTAGAGTGATTCATCCAAGACTGCATATTTTAGCTGGCAATTCCACTTATCCACAGGCATTTTGAACTTGCAGAAGTTCACAGCACCCATGTTAAGTGAGAAACTTGCTCCTAGGTATTCTTGAAGCAATGAATCTGAAATGTAGGTTAAAGTTGATGGTCTTTTAGATTTTTTTTAAACCACTCATGTTGGTGCAAAGTCTACACTGCTGGATGTGATCATTTAACTGAAAAAGCAGGAGCTTCCACCCCCCAGGTTAAATTCTGACAAATGAACTTTCCCATCTTCAATAGAATGCAGATCTTAAGAACTGTGAATTACTGCTACTCACTACAAATGACAAGAAACCCTGAAAGTTACTTCATAATGAATTTAATTTCTCTTGCAATGTTCCAAGAACTAGGGCACTACAAAGTGTGAGGTACACTACAAAGTGTGAGGTACACATAGTAACAGGACTAACAGGACTCCATCTGGATCAGGTAAAAATGGGTAACAAAATATTAGGAAAAGCAATAACAAAAAAAACCAAATGACCTTATCCAGTCACATATCAGCTGGTAATCCTGATTCTGAAACCCTTGAAAATCAGTCCCAGGAAAAGTTCAAGGTTACTCTTTTCAAAAGAAGGACAATCCAGTTCTAGGAGACAGGAAGCGGAGGAACCTCCCATGCCAACCCTTTACTTGATCTTTGTTGCCTGAAAGGTAAATTGCATCCTTGATGTGTGTACAGAAGTGACCTGGATAATATGGCTCTGTTAGGACTTGTCACTGGGAGGTTTCTTCTTGGCTTCCACATCCTTCTTAAAATCTTCAAGCTTCTTTGCAATGTTAGGAATCTTTAAAGGCAAAACAAAGAACAAAACCCACATAAATTAAAAAAAATCCCAAGCTATATGAGCCTCAGCAGGAAAGACAATACGATAAAGACAGCAAGAAATTCTATTTCTAAGTTAAAATTGGTTTCTAAAAGATACTTGCTTCCAGGATCTGCTACCTTGCACAGAGGTTAAAAACAAAGCAACATCAAGCAAACAGCAGCTGAAAGTACCTCACATGAGGCTTCAGGAAATATTTTAGATTGTTAAGACTAATATTCAACCAGAAGCGAGGAAACAAGATCACTTTTTGCAGTAAAATTAGTAAGACCAGCCTGGCTTCCTCACCGAAAGGACAAACTACCAACAATAAGCAGATTTAAACACTGATGCACAGACTTTAATAATAATTTTTATATTGCACTATACTGGTCACAAACCGAAAGAAAAGAGATGTTCAAGAACAGCAAATATGTTCAAGAAATTTATGAAGAAATACTTCCCCATGTGCACCTCATGGAAGCCAAAATTGCCCACTGGAGATTTTTATTGCATTGCAAACTGGTAACCTTTTGCAGTTTCACATTTGTGTGAAAATTCAGTTTACCGCTTGTGAATTTCAAAACTTCAGCTTTGTCTTGCAAATAAAAGCATTTTGAGAAAATAATCTAACAGCAAATTTTGACAACTTTAATAATTAAAAAAAAAACAACAAAAAAAACAAGCAGCAACTTTTAAGGGCAAAGAACAGTTTATCTCATGATTCTATCTAAAACTGAGAATTGACAACACAGGATTTTACAAGCTGATTAAAATGAAAGTAAAGCAAAGTTCCCACTGGTAGTTGAGAAGGAGGAGGGAGAGAGAGGGCTTTTACTTCATATGTAAACAACCAAACAGACTGCAATTCTCTCATTGGATGTTTTGAGGATGATAGTACAGGTAATAACATTAGTTTCTCTCTTGCTTTCCCCTTCAAAGTTAAACTGTTAAATTAAGAACCCCACCTGTACCACACCTGCCATTTAAGCTAAACCAAGAAAGCTCCACTGCTATCAGCAGAGCCCTCCATGTGCTTATAACTAAGCACATCTGCATACAGCTACAGAATTAGGACCTCAGTATGACAGGTTTATCCTAGATGTCATCTAAAACAAATTGTCTTCAATACCAGCAATAAAATTACTATGTTCATCCTGCAAATCAGTGTTACATTCTCAGGGAACCATTTCCTTCAAATCAAACGCATAAGGCCCCCTCTTGTGGCAATATTTTATTAATGCTGAGAGAAAAGCAGCATGCCAGGCTTACAATGCATATTGATATACTCAAGTATGTTCTTATGACTACATTTTCATAGCACTGTAAAACATACATAAACCAGCCTTTTATGAGTACTCTTACTGGAGTGACTGGACAGGAAACATTACAAAAATATGTGCATGAGCAAGGAGCAAAAAAATAAGAATTCTGCCAGCAAGATTACTGCAATACTGAAGGTGAGATGGGAGTAAAACATAAAAACATAAATGTCAGAGATCTGAGCCTCAACAGCTTTGGGGTTTTTGTTTGGTTGTTTTTTTTTTTTTTGACAGTTAATACAGACTGCAAAAGAAAGGAAAATAAATTATGTTAAATTTCATTAACTGCTCTAGCCTGTAAACAGCTAAGTGACATTGCTGTTACAAGGAATTCTGCTGACTCTGCAGAAATTAAAAGCTGGTATTGAAGACTCAGTTCTAAATCTTCAGCTCTAACTCTCACAGTGAAAAATCTCCACTGATGTGAGAACTGAGGATAGAAAGTTCATTTTCTTTCTTTTCTCATTGTCATTGTGAGGAAAGGAAATAAAGATTGGAGGTCAATACACTGAAGTAGGAGCAGGTGCTGAATTTAAAAAAAAAGGCTGGCAAACTTATTTTCATTATTGGTACAGAAGAGGGAAATCTCAGATGCTCTGAAGGATTTTTAAGTAATAAATGGGTGGACCGAGTGTATAACACTGTGTAACAGGCTATCAGATCAGGAAACCGGTATTTTCATGCCTGTACAACTCACGAGCAGATGCTAACCTTTTTCTGTTTCTCCATCTCTACCTATGTAGAGACCTGTTTACCGTACCTGTGCTCTAGGGCCCTAATACCAGTTAAGTCTTTAAGCACTCCTTTATCACAGAGATGTCAGAGGTGGGTGTTTTGGTTCAGTTCACATTCAAGTTCATCTGTAACTAAAGTCAGTACATCTGCAGTCTGTTTAAATAAAATAAACCATCTAAATAAAGACTGATTCAGTTCTGATTGAGAGAAAACAGCCTTATATTTTAGTTTCAGAATAGGTTTATCTTTGAGAATATAAGGATACTCACATCATAGTTCTGAGCCAGATACATCCCAACCACATTGCCAAGAGTAAAACCAAGCTAAAAAAGAAGAAAAGGAGAAAACAACAGTTAACATCTTTCCATCAAAAGCATACTGGTTAAACTTTTAAAAATAAATAAATAGGAATATTGCAAGTCATGTAAAGACTGAAGGTCTCCAATTTCCCTCCTATTGAATTTCTCACCTTTCTTACAGACAGGTGCAATTTTACCCATCCTTCTCATCAGGAAAACCTTGCCATCATTTCCAAAACACAGTACCACTGGATTTTCAATACACATCTCCAAGACTACTTGGATCAGGCTATGATCATCTTTGTAAAATTCTCTGTACACCCACAAAGGCAGTAACTTCTATAAAAATGGGAGAGACAGCAGCAGGGACCTACATAACAGAGGTCTTGGTCCATGCCTGGATATACCAAAAAGATGCTCGGTGCTGGAAAGGGACATACATTTACAAAGACATAACACAGTAATATACAAAGAAAAAAAGGTTCACAGGCTTGAAGGCGAGAAGCTCTGACTGCAAAAAGACTCACTCTCACCTTAAAAGCTTTAATAGTAGAGCTTCTCCATCAACTTAAATTGATGCTACTTCTCTTCTGCAACAGTTAACAACTGCACTTTCCAGACCCCTTCAACCCCAAGAGATTAGTTTTGAGCCAAATCCACTCTGATCAAGGGCCTTCCCTAATGCAGGAAAGTACTGCTGCTTGGAAGCAGGGCACAATGTCTTTTGACAACCGTGCTGACTTATAGTTGCTGAAGGTTGTCTATGAAAATACACCCTGGAAGGAGAGCGAGAACAAAAAAAGCATAGTTCCTGGCCCAGACCTTGTTTGCCCAATAAAGAAAATCCTCAACTGTAACAACGCTTTTGGAGTAGGAGAAATTATTCTCTTCGAAGACAGGTGATGAGATCTTAATTCAGCAGCTCCACAAGATCCTAGATTTCATTTTTATTGTTACATTTCACAATAAGTATGTCCTATATTATGAAAGCTATTTTGGAAGGGGACATTACTAACACTGTGCCTTCATTAACTGACAGTAGACAAATCACTGTATAACAGCTGAAGCCAGTTGTGTTTAAGAAAATTGTTATTACTCATGGTCACTGCTTCAAAATAAGACTATTTTAAGAAAAATAAAAGCACTGTCCACAGTAACAACTTTGCCATCACATCCTGACTAGACATCTTTTCCATGCCCAAAGCAGGATACAGATCATCTTTTCAGTGATTCAGACTCTGGTGAAAACCTAGCTGCAGAAAACTAAAACCGGTTGACAACTGCCAAATGACTGCAAGTTACTTCAGTGTTTTCTTAAACAAATTTTTGGTCGTATTCTTTATTTTTTAAGGAGCTTAACTTTAACAATTTAAGAAAAAGTAGAGTTCTTTTTGCGGGTACTGCACATTTGCTCTTGTAGTTTCAATTACCAGTTAAAGAAGTACTCTGGGAGATACTAACAAACACGGCACTGACATAAACTAGATGGAGCATCATTCTAGCAGATAATTACCTGTGTCTGAGAACTCACTTGAAAACACAAGCCAGGTCTTCGTTTATTAGCAGTTTTCTAGGTTTTCACCCTAGAGGACTTCCAAAGAAGGGGTAACTATCGTATTCTGCTTGTTTGGTACAGACAGTACGGAGATCAGTACTCCTTTTAAGCACACTCCTTTACTGAAAAGCCTAGCACTGCATTAAAGAGCAATCCACCCAGTTACATTTACCTTAGTAGTTTACAATTCAATCAGAGGGAAAACCAAACCAACCAACCAACAACAAAAAAAAACAAAACAAACAAAAAAAACCAACAAACCAAAAGCCCTCCAGTATTTAGATTTCAATTATGTGAAAAGCAAAAGATACAGACAATTAAAATGTGCATGTTAATGAAGGACCACAGGGCTGATGAGAGTTCAGGGTCCTTCTGTTTCTGCCCAGCATTTCAAGTTGCATTTTAAACAAATGTTTATTTAATGCTTAACTCTGGATAGCAAAAGTCTAAGGTTTGCAAGATTATCCCTTTATCTCCCTGCTACAGCCGTTTACAAGAGCTCAACACCCAATCTACACCCAAAGGGAAGAGAAACTCAGAATTAGCATGTATTTTTCTAACTTTCAGGTGCTAGTGAGGAAATCAAAATTAGTAAGATATTTTTATTTAGGAAAAATAAATACTAATAAAAAAATAAAAGAAAAAATAGCAGCAAGCAGTAGAATTGATAGAAACTTGGGTTTCTCTCCATCGGAGTGGAGAGAGACTATAAAAAGCTACAGGAATGACTGAGGCTTACATACGTGCTACTATGAAGGTAAGAAATAGGCCTTATTTATTCATTTCACAAAAACATACAAGACTCTCCCAACTTACAGTAGGCCATCTGTTCTTGCTCTATATCAACACTCGGTATGAAGGCAGTATAAAACATTATTCTGTAACTAAATTACTCTTCCCCCAACAGAAGATGAGAATATCCCTTATTGTTTGTACTTACTGAGACATATCTGAACACAACTAAAACACTAACGCATCCCTCACATCACCAGAATGAAAACCATGAGGTTACTTCCATGCTTTGCTACAGGAGAAACCAGCAGCTTTTTGGTCAGGTAAATTATTTCAACACTTGGCAATAAAACGAGCATTAATCTAGTACTTAATGAACAGTGGCCAGGCACCTAACTTGAGATACCCAGAATAGCTTAGGGGAAAGACAGAAACGCATGTTAAAATGAGAAAAGTACAAAAACATTCAGCCTTTTAATTCTGGTGTTCTTAACGGGGACTTAACAAAAGGCAGTAACGGGACACGATCTTTTGCCTTAACTTCTATATATAAAAATGTACCTCTCCAAATATTAATTGTTCAGGGTGTCCAGGATGACAGGAACTGAAAACCTGCTCTCACAGAAGGGAGGTATATATGCTAATACAAAGACATTTGAGAAGCAGGAGGGCATCACCGTGAGCAAGCTAAATCTGCTGTATCTCCAGTGCAAATTAAGGACATGACTTGGAAGAGAAGAAAACCAAACCAAACCAAGGCAGGAACTTCATTTCCACAGCAGTTTAAAGGCACCGTTCTGGGGGCGCGTGGATAAGCCCGGCGGGTACCGAAAACAGGGCGAGGCGGCTCCAAGAGCCAGGGCAGGTCTGAAGGAGCCGGAGGAGCTAACCCGCGCGAAGCCGCACTCACAAGGATGCTGCGCTGCCGGGGAGCCAATGCCGGGAGCAGCCCCCGCGCTGAAGCGGCCTCAGGGCCACAGGGGCGAGTCACCCCACGGGCTAGGTACGGCGAGGACCCGAGGACTGAGAAGAGAAGCCTCAAGACAGCACCCCAGACACGGGAGCGTAGCGGAGGGGAAGCCACCCGCCCTCCGCTGGGTCTCCCCGGAACCGTCCGCAGGTGCGGGCGGTGACTGCACACAGCCAATTTCCTCCCTTAGCCGAGGAGCGGCCCCCGCCCGCCTCGCTCCGCTCCGCCCCGCCGTGAAATGGCGGCACCGCGGAGCCTTACCAAGAACTGCAGCATGGCGCCTGCCTGCGTCCCTAATCGCTGGGGAAGTCAGGCGGGCGCCGGCGGCTTCTCTTCCGGGTGCCGGACCGTCCTCGCTGCCACCGCCGCGGGGAGGGCTGCGCTGAGCGCCGCCTGCTCCCGCCCCTTGGGCGGCCCCGGGGTTGGGGCCCCTCGTAGGGTGACACTCGGGAAGGCGGCTCCCTGCCTGTTTCGGGGATAAGGGGCCGCGCAAAGAGGGCGGCAGGCCGCCTTTTAAAGCGCCGCTTCCGCTGCGCAGGGAGGCGTGTGGTGGCGGTCATGGAGCCTGCTGCTGCCGAGAGGTTGCCGAGCTGTTAAATGAGAGCCCGCGGTTTTGCACCTCAGGTGATTTCAGGCTGCAGAAAACGATCAAGGGAACTGGGCATCTAGATGCAGGTGAAATACTGTATGATTTGGGTGTCCCCTGCCTCAGTGCTTGGGAAATCTCAGCCTCACATGCCAGAAAAGGCCAAACGAAAGTCTTTTGTTTGGCTGTTTTTTATCGTTTTGTTTTGTTACCTCTTCCTTACGCATTACTCACTACATCACGTGCTGGGGACCCATGGCCAGGTTTGGTTCCCCAGTGTAGGAAAGACTTGGACAGGCTGCAGCGAGCTCAGCAGTGGGCCCCAGAGCTGATCAGGGCTGGAGACCTCGCTGTCGGGAGAGGCCGAAGGAGTGTGATCTGTGCAGCCTACAGCTGATGCGCGAATAGACTCCACAACTTGTTAAAGTCATAAAGTAGGTATACTTTATTAAGCGCTGAGGTGCATGGGGGATAACTCCTCCAAAAGCATGCTTACCTCAGCGTTGTTCCCCCTCTACATTTATCCCCTAAAGTTATACGTATGCATGAGGTTGCACAACATGCCTATACATATTCATGTCCTATTCCCACTTCGTATTATAATGAGCTAAGAAGTCCTTTGCGCCTGCGCAGTGCCTCCTAGTGGTCTTGAGCGAGGGTCTCGAGGTGACGTAAATGAGTCCTCCTCGAGCCTGAGCTTTTCACCTCTGGTCGTTACACATGCTCCCTGGAGGCTTGGTCTTTGTCCAAAGCGCAGAGCCAATTTCAGCCGGCCTAGGGTCCAAAGGACTGGAATTAAATCACGGTCCCTACTTCCTAACAATAGCTGTGTCCTTATATCTAGTTCTAGCATACACGGAGGCGTCCAAAGGATGGGAATCAAGACACGGTCCCTACTTCTTGACAATAGCTATGTCCTTATATCTTGTCATAGCATAATCATGAGTGAGCAATGATATTGTTAAGCAAGCGTCCTGATCTGTCCCCTTGTACATTGCAAGTACCATAAGCATGAGCAAGCAATAACATTGTTAAGCAGGTGGCTCAACCCTGAACCCCCTTGCATCACAGCAAGTGTCAGGGCTTATGAGGTAGGTATTGGTCAGTCATGCTCTTCATAGTTGCATATAATGAGAGCATGAGAGACAGAAGCGGTAAGATGAAATGAGAGGACTGGGCTAGATTTAAAGACAGTTTTGTCACTTATGGGAGGCAGGCAGGCAAGCAATTGGCACAGACTGCCCAGAGAGGTTGTGCCATCTCCAACTTTGGAGGTTTGAAAGACCCATCTGGGTTAAGCCCCGACAAATAACAAAAACAAAGAAAAAAACCCCACCCCCCAAAAAAAAAACCCAAACCAGAGAAACAAAAAAAACCAAACACCCGACAAACCAAAAAAAAAACCCACCCAAGCCCACCCCTACCCCCAAAAAAAAAGGGAAAAAAACACCACAAAAAACAATCCCCCCCCCAAAAATAGCCCCCAAACCCCAAGCCAACAAACAGAAAAAAAACACAAGCACAAAACAAACCAAACCCAAGTTGTCACCCCCCCCCCCCCCCCCCCCCCCCCAAAATAAAACAAAACAAAAAAAAAACCCAAAGCAACAAAACTCACATGGCTATTTTGGAACTATTAGGCAGCTCCACCCTGAAATCAAGTTAACTCAAACTAGGCTTCCATTCCCAGAAAACTCAAATGTTCCGTCTAGTAGAAAACACATCGCTTCCTGCCTTCCTGGGTCAGGTACCTTAGTGAGAGGTGAAGATATATCTTCTACTGATTTTACGAAAAGAAGCACAGAAAGATAGTAAGTGACTTTTGCACCTGGTGATACTGTAGTGAGGAGCTGGGCTTAAGGGAACTTTCTCCTGAGTTTCAGGCTATCCCAAAGCAGCTGTATTGTGCTTCCTGCCCTGGGCCAGTGCTGACAAATGGAAATGGCATGCAGAGGTTTGGATGGATGTGGCACAGAAGCCAAAGTTGGGATTCCTTGCCTTCTGGAATGGCTCTCCCAGGAGCCTTGGAAATGAGGTTAATACTGGAAACAGGAACAGAATGCCTGGTAATAACTGTTTTCCTGATGCTGAGGCCTTCTACATGTGTGCAGGAGGTGGTATTACGGACTCCATGCACATCAGAAATTAGAAGGAGCAAGGCTTTCAGTAATAATGTCTCCACAGTACCACTGCAGAATGACAAGGCTTTTCCTGTTGTTTGCTCATTAAAAATGCTGTTGTTGTGCTTAAACTGTGATGAGTGCAATATCTGTTAGACATTCTTGGCTCAGCAGTACTGTACACAGTTGTTTTCCTACATGCTATGAATTTCTGCTGTGACATTTAACGGACAGCCAGAAATATTTCTTTCCTTTAAATAAATCCATTCCATTTGCATCAGCCAACACTGAATCATTTTGAGTTAGAGACTGTAGAGGGTGGGTATGGTGGATGGCATATGTTATTGGAAGGAAAAGCTCAGTCTGACAGCTATAAACACAGCTATCATGCTTTTATAGCTGGGAAAAACAAAAAAGAGAAAAAGAAAAAAAAAATCAGAAACAACCCTTCTTTTTTTGAGCTCCCCCAAATATGCCTTCACCTCAGACCAGAGTCTCAATAAGCAGGCAGCTCTTACTCCAGTCTGGACATTGGCTGTAACTTGGTTGGAGTGCATTTATTTAACCTTGAAGAAGAGGCTGACAAGACTCCCCATCTCACAGCACCACTATTGGTGTTCTGGGCAATGTTCAGGATGCGGAAGAGGTCCATTGTGCTATGTGGCACCCATTTTGTTTTGCTTGCTTGGGGATGGGTGGGTTACACGGCCTGCTTCTCGTTTGCTTTGCTTTTCTCCTTTCCCTCTTGTCCTTCCAGAGGGTGGTACAAGTCATAATCCTTCTCAGACCAGGGGCTTGATGCTGCATGGGATTTCTTTAAGGTAGCTCTTGCAGCTTCTCTTGTAGCTACCAGCTCTTGTGACAGAGATTTGGTTACAGCATGTGGAAAATAAGGATGGGATGAGCAGTAGCAGCTGAAAGGGGAGTGCATTCAGCTTGTGTGATACTGAGCTGGCTGCACTCAGCTGACTACCCCAGAAAAACTGGGTCTCAGTGAGAGTGACAGCTGATTTGCAGCATCTTTGCTTTATCCTCTTCCACGTTGCTGTTGCACACACATTTTAGGAAATGGAGTCTTCTGTGTGGGAAAACAACAGGTCTGAATCCAGAAATGTGAATATCTGCAGTGTAAAGAAGAATGTAAAACTCATGGAGCACCAGTGAGATCTCAGGAGCCTCTGCATGCATTCAGTCAAAACCAAAGCTGAAATGCTGATTATCAAGTAGTGGTTCTTCAGTCACCTGCAGACAAGACATATATATAGTCTGATAATTTTGAACAATAACTATGTGCAAGGAAGTTGTAAAGACTGCAGTAATACCCATACATATAATGAACATCTTTGAAGACCAATTGTCCCTTGTAACCAAGAATCTTGAAGAAAAAGTTACTTAAAATCAAATAAAAAACCCCAACCCAAACCAAACACCACCCCCCCAAAACAACACCAAAAAACTCCAACCCAATCCAAACCAAAAAAAAAAAATCCAACACAAAATCCCACAGCAGCTAAACCAAACCGACTCATATTTCCAACTGAAACAAGGACAAAAACAGGTATAAAAAAGGTATAATTTTGCATACATTTGCTGATGGTTAAGACTTTCTCAACATTATCTGTGTTATTCAGGTGCTCTACAAGTATAGTCAAGCCCATGAGGCATGCAGAAAGCTTGTTTGTCAGGAACTACTGGCTATGCTACATTATTTTCTATTGCTAAATACATTTTAACATGCATGTGCAAGTATATATGTACTCCAATCTATGGAAACTGAGAATGCCTTTCTTAAAGGATTATATTTAATTCACCCCATTTTTTACAATGTTTGCTGATGTATGAACATACCAGGACAAGGCAGTTTTGTATGTGATTTCCTTGAGCTAGAAATTCTGTAAAATAAACACCAGATGGGGCAAGAAAACCACATATTAAAATATCTGTTTACATTTTGCTATGGTTAATCCTTAGATTTTGTTTTCTGCCCATTTTCTTTTCTTCACCTTAGTAAAATATCTTCAATATTATCTGTGAGTTTCTGAGGAGATGTAATAAATTATCCAGGACGTTTTTGTCTTGCTGTGGAGACATGCACTATTTTAGTACTTAATAGATACAGAGTGTATTATACACATAATACATAGAGAACAATATGAAATAAAAAACCACAATTGCAGGGCAATCAGTTTATCAAAAACTCATCAGATCTTACCAACTTTAAATATACAAAGTATAATTGCCTACCTGAAAAAAACAACTAAATATGAGGAGTTTGCATCTCCTATCTTTTTTCAGTGGAAGCATGGTTTATTGTTAATTTAAACTTGCTGAAAAGATCTTTTTCAAAATAGCATCCTTTCCTTCTTATCTCCTCTTAAATGCTGTATCCCAGAGATCCTCCAGAGTTCTCAGATCAATAGCCTCATATATTTTCTACAGAAAAACAAAAAGCATCACTGACTCATCATACAAGCCTGAAGTTGTTTAAGGAGTTTTCAAATGTGGTTACTGACTAGGAGAGATAGTTGTGTTATGGCGGTTCATACTGACCCTTTTAAAGTCTAACGTATACACAGAGCACTAATAGTTTCAAAGATAGTTTGTGACATGGCCTAGTTTTGTAAAAAAAAAAAACACCAAAAACAACCAAACAAAAAAAAAAGTAAAAAGTAAAAAAAAGTCAAACTG